TAAGCTAATGTCTTTGACACATTGTAAAATGACTATAACTCAATAAAAAAAGTTAAAAAAAAAAAAGATCAAAATGAAAAAAAAAAAAACCAAAACCTCCCTTGTATAACTTTGGGGGGGAAAAAAATAAGCTAATGCCAAAATTCCCAAGGGGAATTATAGGAGAATTAACAAAAATCTATCTATACATGAGATACGCCCTTCATTTCTTCCTTGGCCCTCACACATCATAAAGAACACATCCTAACAAGGACCTTCTGACTTCTGGCCATTGTACTCAGGATTACACACGCTAACGCTTAGCTCGTCATGTTGGGCCATGTCCAAGTGAAGAGACAAAAAGGCACCGAGAGAAACAGAAAAGTGACCATGAGGCTCCAGAAGACAGAAGCGGAAAGAGTGCCTGCCTTGGTTTTGATAACTTTCTAGTTTCTAGGCCCTTCCAATAAAATCTTTTTGGCTTAAGCTAGCTGGAGTGTATTTCTGTTCCTCTTCATTACATAATCCCTACAACAACCATATCTTGCTTTAAAACACAATACATGAGCAAATATATAAATAGCTTAAATCATTCATATGCTTTTGACACTAATTCAGCTCTAAAATACTGAACAGTGTGAAGTAAAAATATAAAAGGAAAATTATGTTTGGTATACTACCACAAGAAAAAAAAATAAGAAAACATACATTGCTAGTAAATTCACAAAAGATCTCTGGAAAGTTATGGAATAAACTGGTGACATCAGTTCTGCAGAAGTAAACTGGGTAGCTGGGGGATTGAGACAGGATGGGGTACTTTCACTGTCTACCTTTTTCTATCTTTTTGAAGTCTAAACCACAAAATCATGTTACATATTCAAAACTAAATTTGATTAAAGCAATCTGGAAAGCCTGAAAAGAAGTAACATATGGGCAGCCCAACTCACTAGGTCCTCACTTGCTCGGAGCAGGATATTTCACTGTCCTTATCGGTTCTTCTGACCCCGGCAGTGTTCACACACCAGCACATGGAGGTGCCATTGCACTGCTTGGCTTTAAAGAGCCCCTTCTCATCACAGTCGGGATTGTAGAGACCGTCATTATTCTGGATAGCGCCCTCTGGTTTCTTTTTTCTCCCATCCTTTGAGACAGTCATTTCTGCCTTCATCACCAGACATTTGGTAGCCACTGAAAAGAAAGGTTAATGTCAAACTGAAAAATAACTGCAGTTTTACACTTAAGGGGAAAAAAATTAATTTACTCCACACTCCCAGATTAATTGTAGACTTACAAGTTCCCCTGTTTACTTTCTAAATCATAAGAAGCTTCAAATGAGATAATTTTGACAAAATAACACAATTTAGATTTGAGCCAGTAAGACACTTCCCAGTTTAAGACACATCAATTAGTATAAATTAAAATAAAACTTAAAGGCAATGAGAATATTCTACTTACATTTTGAGCAAATGACGGAATTTTGTGTACCAAGTGAAGTACACTGGCACTGACCATATGCGTTCAAAGAGCAGTTTGTGGTCAGTTTGTAGTTTTCACATACACATTCTGGGGGAAAAAAAATCCACTTTACAAATGAATCCAACTCTCAACTCTGATCTCCCAGCTAAATTATGTTCTGACAATAATGCCTAAGTTACAGGGACACATAGCCTTAAGATGTAGTCCTAAATGTTCTATGCTTTAGCTATAATTTGAGTGACTGACACTAGGCTAGTTTGTGTATATTATACAGCCTAATTTGCATGCATCCCCGTTTTTATTTTTTAAACCAAGAATAAAAACGCCCAACAGCAGATTCAGCTTTGTCTTCATCATACTCCCAGACTCAGCTTTTTCCCTCCCCTATCCTGCTAGATAAACAGTTGCCTGTCAGTCAGGAACTCTTTCCCCCAAAATCAACAATTCCAATTTTAGGATCTGTGAATAACTCACACTCCCTCCCTTTTCCCACCACATTTTCTTAGTAAGTGATGCTTGCTTTGGTGTTTAATGGGAAAATATTCAACCTTTGGACAATTTCATATCTTAGAAAACTATACTTTCAATTGAATTTGAAGGCACCTCTGTATGTGAGTTTCCCAACTAAATTAAATCCTAGTACCTGATTTCAAAAGTGCTATTAAGCAGCCCATCCTGGGTACTGATGTCAGTTTAACAGTTATATCTTTGACTATCTCAAAAGTTCATTTTAACTTCAAACTGGCAAATCCACCTAATTTCTTTTGTCTAGCCAAGAGAGTGCAATCACTAAATACAAAAACTAGTTACGACAGACCAAAGAATTTTTATACCGATCCTTCATATCCCAAGTTGGCTTTCATTTTTCCCTGTTTATTATAATCAGTATGAACCACCTATATAATCTGTCCAGTGCTATATTCAGTATTGGAGTCACAAAAGGAGAAAGTATGGTGGCTGCCCTCAAGGAGTTAAAATCTTATGTAGCACTATGCTATACCCACTCAAAAGCACAATGTGAAATTTAAAACATACCAATCAGGTACAGACTTTCTGAACATACTCCTGGAGCAGCTATCATCACTTTAAAGCAATTTAAGTTTAAGTATTTAGCCTCACACTGAAGCTGGAAAAAAAAAAAACTGAGTTCCTTAAACTGCGTTATTTTAAAAAATGACTGTTGGTGGGGGTATAAAAAGCCTTTCCATAAAGCTTTGGCTAACTGATTTTCACTTCTAGCCACCACCTTACAAATAAACGAAGAGACGGCAGCCAAGATGTTTATTCCAGAGTAAGAAAAATTGGAATCAAACTACACATCCAACATTTGCACAAGGATGCGACCTTCCACGCTGTAGGTTACTCTGCACCATTTAAAACGTACTTTCGAGGGGAGGGTATAGTTCAGCGTTAGAGTGCGTGCTTAGCATACACGAGGTCCTGGGTTCAATCCCCAATACCGCCTGTTAGATAAATAAATAAACCTAATCCCCGCCCCCGCCAAAAATAAATTAATAAATAAGTCGTGCTTTTTAAGACTACAGAAAATGGAAAACTCTGGATGTTAAGGTGGGGGTGTAAAAAAATCAAGACATAAAACTGTGTGTTTAGGTTTACGGAAATGTTTAGCGGAATGTCTAAAAGAAAAATATATCCATTTAAAAAAATTTGTCTCTCCCTTCCCCTAAATACATCCAATTATTAATTACGGGATTCTTTTGAAGTAGTGGCTTTTTTTTTTGTCTTTACGACTATCAATATATCTGGGTTCCCTACAATAAACTTGGCATTACTTACATGATTGTCCTTAAAGGGAAAACATCCACACACCGCGCAGTGAAGGGAGGGCCCCCTTCCGCGCACAGGTGCGTAGCGGTCCCGGAGGCCTCGCCGCAGCCACCTGTCCCCGCCCGAGACCACATCCGGGGCCTGCCGCAGGTGCCCGGGGAGAGGCGGGGCCGCGGGTCGCCGTAGCAAATTCTCCTCCAGTCCCCCGCAGGTTTCCGCCGGCCCGAAACCGCAAGTACTCACGGCCAGAGAAGGTGGGCGTACCGAGGCCACTGTGTTCCCTGACTGCCCCTCCGCCCCTCCCTCGGGCCATTTCCCAAGAGAGGTGGGCAAAGCGCCAAGTGAGGCTGCTCCCTCCGGCCCGCGCAAGTGGGCGCCTTCCCGCCGCCTCCTGCAGAGGGCCTGGGCTGGGGATCCCCGCGCCGTCCGTCTCCCGGCGGGAAAGCGCGACCACCCCTAGCTCCGTCCAACCCAACCCACAATTCTGCTCCTCACCTTCCTTGGCCGCGGCCACCGCTGCCGTCGCTGCCGCGAGCAGGAGCCCGAACGCGAGGACCTGGGGGGGCGCCATGCTGCGCGCGCGTCGAGGACGAGGGCGCGAGGGGCGCGAGGCAGGCCGGGGGCTCGCGGGAGGGCGGAAGGACGGAGTAGGGCGCCGGGAGTAGGCTGAGGGACGGGCGGCGCGAGGCTTGAGACGGGAGGGTCGACGTCAGGAAGACGGCGGCGAGGTGCCTCGGCGCCCAGAGGCCTGGGGGACGGTGCGAGCTGGCCGACGGGCTGCGCGCTATGGGCGCGCGGCGGGGCGGAGCAGACCTGCCTGACCTGGCGGCCCCGCCTCCCGGCCCCTGCCCACCGCCGCTCACCTTTGAGTGACTCCCGGCGGTGAGTCACCGCCCCGGGGGCGGAGGGGAGGGAGCAGCCTCCCCTCCCCAACTCCCGGAGCGGCCGTTGGGGAGCCATCCGCTCCCCAGGTGTGCGCCCAGCCCACCC